TATATATATATATATATATCTTCTAGAGTATTATATTACAAAGAGAAAGCAACAAACAAATCAATTAAACAAAGTAATTTGCTAATAATTTTTTTTATTAGCAATAAAATTATACTAAATATTGGATAGTATAATAAATAAAGATACATAACAAAATATTATTCGATGTCTATATAAGTCCCTTTAATTTAATATGAATTTTATTTATTAAAGTTCAGACAACATTATTGAGAACAATAGGATAAAATTTAAAATATAAAATATTTTAACAGTAACAAAATATATATCCTCTATTATATTACACAAAGAAAGTAGCAGACAAAAATAATAAACAAAATAATATGCTAATAAAAATTTCTATGAACAATGAAATAATACTAAATATTGGATAATATAATAAAGAAAATATAGAATAAAAAAGTTATTCGATGCCTATATAAGTCTGTCTAATTTAATAAAGATTTTTTCATTAACATTCAAATAATATTACTGAGAACAATATAAAATTTAAAAAAAAAATATTTCAAGAATAATAAAATATATATATATATATATATATATATATCTTATATTATATTACAAAAATAAATTAATAGACAAAAATATTAAATAAAGTAATATGCTTATATAATTTCTCTTAACAATGCAATTATACTAAATATTGGATAATTAATAAAGAAAAATACATAAACAAAAATTTATTTGATGCCTATATAAGTCCCTATAATTTAATAGAGATTTTATTCACTAAAATTCAGACAATATTAATAGAATAAAATTTAACGTATAATTATTTCAAGAGTAATAAAATATATATCTTGTATTAGATTACAAAAAGAAAGTAGCAGACAAAAATATTAAACAAAGTAATATGCTAATAAAAATTTCTATTAACATTGTAATAATAATAAATATTGGATAAAATAATAAAGAAAATACAGAAGAAAAATTTTATTCGATGCTTATATAAGTCACTTTAATTTAATAGAGATTTTATTCATTAAAATTCAGATAATATTATTGAGAACAACAAAATAAATTTAAATAAAATATTGGAAGAGTAATAAAATATATATCTTCTCTTATATTACAAAAAGAAAGCGAGCGGATAAAATATTAAATAAAGTAATATGCTAATAATTTTTTTATTTACAATGTAATAATACGAAACACTGGATAATATAATATTGAAAAATATAGAACAAGAATGTTATTTAATGACTATAATTTAATAGAGATTTTATTATTGGGAATATCGAATTAACAAATAAGATGACAATTAAAATTTATTAAATAATACAATCTAATTATATTCAAATAAGCCCGATCACAATTTAATTAATATATTTTCATATTGATTGTTCGACCAAAAAATATAAATCTTTGGTTAAACTAATTAAGTAAAAAGATAAAGGGTTAATCCTAGTTAAAGATAATGACCTTAGATCTAAAATCGGTTTATGCGGGTAATGTGGGACCACGTTAGAGTGGATTTAATGCTATACACATTAAATGTTAAGGTTATTCATGGAATGAGAATAATGATGAGCATTAAATAACAATAAATGGTACTAAATGTAAACAGAGAGAAAGATTCACCCAATATTGATTGGGCGGATGATTACTCTTCCTGACAATGATGTAAGACAAACAACTATGGGAATATTAGAGAATTTCTCGAATCTGATGTGAAAAGTGTAGAATAAACAACGAATCGAATATCTTTAGAAAGGTAGTGTTTGTATTTATAGTCAACTTTTCAAAAGAGCTCTTATCAAAATCTTCCTTTTACCTTCTCTATCCCTTTATATATATATATATATGAGATATGCTCATAATCAGATCTAAAAGTACAAAGTACGGAGAATATTCAATAGAATATTCTCCCAAATATCTTATTACAAAATTAGTCGTTACTATTGCTTTAAACGTTTGACCTCGGCCATAACCGACGGCCTGGCAGTAAGCTCCGTTAGTCATTATTCGACCTCGGCCTAATCGCTTCTAATAGTGCCTCCTCGTGCCGAATTACCTTAGTGAGATTTTGATCCATACATTGACCGCGCTAGTTCTTTTAAAACAAAGTTTTTAAAAAGGATTTTTTTTTTTTTTTCTTAAAAAAAGAGAGACAATCTCCTCGGTAAATCTGTATTCTATGTACACATGATTTCCATAATTCAGAATTGGATGGATGGGGGAAAATAAACGAGTGGTCTGGTTTCTGTAGTGCCATCTCTGCACGTTCTCCCTCTATATATATATAAACCCGTATTCTCGTTATCATCATTGTCTCTCAACCGTTCAACTCTCTTTCTAATCTCTCCGTTGCCTCACTCTTTTCCTCCTCCTCCCAACTTTTAGAGGTAAAGGGTTGAAAGCTTTCTCCTTTTCCCTTTTTTGTTTGTGCTTTATTTACTGAATCTTGAAAATGTCTTTTGATTTGTCAATTTGGATATTTTTGTGTATCTTGGTTCTGTGTTTCTTGAAAAGTTTCAATCTTTGTGTTTCAATTCATCTGCTTGTGTATCCACCTTTCTACCCCATTGTGAACTATTTATTTGGCCGGGGTGGGGGTGGGGGTGGGAGGTGGGATGGGTTGGGAGGTCCTGCTAGGGGAAGGAGAAGGGAAGGTGCTGGTGAGGAGTGAAATTTCACTGCTTTCTACTAGTATTTAGTTTTTGGATGCTCTGGTTCAGAGAAATTCTTTTTTTTTGTTGCAACTATGAAATGAAAGAAATTAAAAGTAATGTTGATTTAGTTTTAGCTGTTCTATTTCTCTTATGAATATGTGTTTATTGGTGTTTTGGAAACTTAATTTACTAGTTTGCAGAATAAAGGAATCTGCTCAGTTGATTTAATGCTCTCACTTAACCACTTGACTGGATATAGTTTATACAGAAGTGCATTGAAGTTCCCTTGTTATATCTTTTTCCTTTCTAGCTAAAGATCTTATGGTGTGTAATTCTTCTATGTGTCTGTCTATGTCTATCTTAGTTTAGGAAAATTTATAAATTCATAAGGCTCAAAAATAATTTCACAACTTTTTACTCACTGTGGTAATGCCTCATCCTTTGAGTAGAAAACATGGTTGTCAGTTTCAAAATTAGAGTGTTCTCTTTGTGTGAGTTAATTCATTAGTCAATATATATTTTTCTTGAGAAACATCATTTGACTAACGTAAATCCTTTCAGAATGGGAAGCTCAGGTGGCATGGACTATGGTGCTTACACCTATGAGAATCTTGAAAGGGAACCTTACTGGCCAACTGAGAAGCTTCGTATTTCCATTACTGGGGCCGGAGGATTTATTGCTTCCCACATTGCTCGTCGTTTGAAGAGCGAGGGCCACTACATAATTGCCTCTGATTGGAAGAAGAATGAGCACATGACAGAAGATATGTTCTGTCATGAGTTTCATCTTGTGGATCTTAGGGTTATGGATAATTGCTTGAAGGTTACAAAAGATGTTGACCATGTGTTCAACCTTGCTGCTGATATGGGTGGCATGGGCTTCATTCAGTCTAACCATTCTGTTATTTTCTATAACAACACTATGATCAGCTTCAACATGATGGAAGCTGCTCGGATTAATGGTGTCAAAAGGTCTTTATCTTGGTTTGATGTTTTTTTCCGGTTTTCTAATGTCAGCAATTCAAGTTTAAAAGTACCAGGAGTTGATGCATTACCCCATATATATTTATTTGTCAAGTTAGTTCCGATACATTCATTTGTTTTGGATTAGTTTGATGTCTAACCATCGTATTGTTCAGGTGTCAAGTTAGTTCCGATACATTCATTTGTTTTGGATTAGTTTGATGTCTGACCATCGTATTGTTTAGGTTCTTCTATGCATCTAGCGCTTGCATTTACCCTGAGTTCAAACAACTTGAAACAAATGTCAGCCTTAAAGAATCTGATGCATGGCCAGCAGAGGTTTGTTTCCTTAAAGTACTAAGTATCTTTACTTTGCCATATAGTAATTCCAAAATAACGGTTTTTAACTTCTCCTTGGTTTGGAATTTAGCCTCAAGATGCTTACGGCTTGGAGAAGCTTGCAACTGAGGAGTTGTGCAAGCATTACAACAAGGATTTTGGAATTGAATGTCGTATTGGAAGGTTCCATAACATCTATGGTCCATTTGGAACTTGGAAAGGTAATTTATTGAAAGTCGCTGCTAACCAGACAAATTTGTAGTCTGTCTTTATATGGAGTATGGGGAGTTTTTTTCCTTAGCATTTTCTGCATCTCAGGTGGAAGGGAAAAAGCTCCTGCCGCTTTTTGTCGAAAAGCCCAAACTGCAGTAGATAAGTTTGAAATGTGGGGAGATGGACTCCAAACACGTTCATTCACCTTCATTGATGAGTGTGTTGAAGGGGTTCTCAGGTGAATACAACCAGATCTTCATGTCTTAATACAATTAAAACAATCAATCAAGAGTTATACTATAAATAACCACTTATTTTGAATTATTGGTATTGTCATGTTTTGAGGTCCAGATACAATCATGATAAGACAATCTCTTATTATGCTTTGAACATGTTTATTGTCTTTATCGTGCGCTTTTTACTTTTTACTTCGGACTGGAAAAAAATAAATGTAGCTTTAGTGTAGTTTAAATGAATCTATTTAGTTACTATGTATGAAATCTAATAAAGGTCATTGAAGAAGCTCTTGTCTAAATGGCATGTTTCATTTATTTCGTCCATTAAATGTTGTCTTAACATGACATACATGTTTAATTCTTTATATAGATTGACAAAGTCTGACTTCCGGGAGCCAGTGAACATTGGAAGTGATGAGATGGTGAGCATGAATGAGATGGCTGAGATGGTTCTTAGCTTTGAGGACAAGAAGCTTCCCATCCACCACATTCCTGGCCCAGAAGGTGTCCGTGGTCGCAACTCAGACAACACCCTTATAAAAGAGAAGCTTGGTTGGGCTCCGACAATGAGATTGAAGGTACTTTGATCAGTTGATCAAAACTGTGTGTTTCTGCACGCGTATAAACTAAAACTAATGATCATTGTTTGAGTGCAGGATGGTTTGAGAATTACATACTTCTGGATCAAGGAGCAGATCGAGAAAGAGAAATCTCAAGGAGTTAATATTGCAAACTATGGATCGTCTAAGGTGGTGGGCACTCAAGCTCCAGTTGAACTCGGTTCCCTTCGTGCTGCTGATGGAAAGGAATAAGTTCATCCCTTCTATTAATTGGAAGCCAAATCACTGCTATGACATTGCTGCTTTATTAATATGGTTGTCGTAGGTGAATGTGTTAAATTTTCAGTAATTGTTGGCTTTTCTTGGTTTTGAATCTTGTAATTTAAGCCCCTTGGCTTGTGAATGGGATGGTTTAATGCTTCAGCTGTATTTATCAGTTGTTTTAGGATATCTCTATATGATAATCCAATAATTGGCAATAGATCTTTTTCCCAGTTCTAGATCTTGCTGTTCCCTGTTGGTGATCATGTCTATTATGTAATCAGATTGTTGCATGAATAAGCGAGACCTTAATTGCAAAGTTCTTGTTCAAGTAGCAATGAGACTGAAATTTGCTCAACTATATAGAAATTTGGAAGGTGATCATGATCAAATGGCGATAACAAGGTATATCTAAGAAACAATATGAAAGGTCAAGCTGTCTGCGTGTGACCTATAGGTCTCGGGTTTGAGCCGTGGAAGCAGCCACTAATGTTTATATTAGGGTGGGCTGTCTACATCACATCCCTAAGGGTGCAGCCGTGCATCAGGCTAGCTTTAGCCTTTAATATGAACGGTCAACTTCTTTTTTTCTTTTGCTCTAACTATCTGGCATTCTAAATCTACTAGCCGAGTAATTCAGATACATGTTGGATAGTCACACTATGGGGATAAAGGTACTTTCTAGTGAAAAATCAAATTCTCGAGCTTGAAATTGAGACCTCTGATTAAGGCGATAGAAATTCCAACCACCGCACCACATTCCTTGATAGTGTAGGGTATATCCCTACCATCGCACCACACTCCTTAATAGTGTAAGTTTTATCTATGAAACAATGTGAAAAGGGCAAATTTTTGGCCATTTACACAACACGAAAACTCCGCAATGAAAGCATTTTTGTGACTTTCATTATTTTTGGAAAATAAATATACGGGATATCCACTTTTGGGTCTGAGGCTAGTTGCATCGCTACTTTCTAGTTAAAGAAGAAAACATAGCTTCTTGGCCAAATACATAGCCCATTGAACTTGGCTCCATTTCATTGGAATTTTTACCTCCTATAGCAAAGGTTAACACCTTATTTATTTTAAATAAATATCATTTAAAAAAATTATATTCTATAGATACCTTTTAATGTTTATAGCAAAATATCTAATTTTGGTTACCTCCTACCCCTAAGCCACTAAATACGTTATTCAGTTACACTATTTTCTTTCTCTCTCTCTACTTTGATACATGTCATTCTCTTCCCCCATTCCCTGAAAACACGATGCTCAATCTCAAAATTCCTCACCCACATCACCTACCATTAGTCACCCTTCCCAAATTTCAGTTTTTCCAGAACCCACGTTCTCTTCTCTCTACTTCGCTAGGGTTTCAATACACAGTTCCCATTTTTCCGCTCCCTCTGAATCATCTCGATCCAGTAGTATTCCATCTAGGGTTTCGTCAATCTCGATTTGAAAATGGCATCTTTAGTGGCAGTTTCGGCGCCCCGTGTCGTTCCTTCATCTAAAACCGAGACAAATTCCTCTCACCCATCTCAAAATTTCTGTTAATATATTTCAATGTATTTTCAATGTATTACGCTGTATTTTCATGTATTTCATTGTCTTTTTTTTCATTGTAATTCAATGTATCTCGCTGTATTCCATGTATTTCATTGTATTCACTGTATTTTTTTCATTGTATTTCAATGTATCCCGCTGTATTCTATGTATTTCATTGTATTCACTGTCTCGCTATACGCCATGAATGTATTCATATGTTTTTTTTAATTAATATAATTTATGTATTCAGATGTATTATATAATTTCTCTGAAGATTGCTATATTTTGGGGGTATTTTTCGGTTGAGAATCTTTTTTATAACTGGAAATATAAAATTTGTGTGTTATAATTGAGTTATATTAGGAGACTATTATGTTAATTGATTCACTTTCCGTTTAAAAATAGTGTAATCCCCTGTTTCACGCCGTGAATACAATCGAATACAATAATCTGTCCAGCTGTAATCCCATGTTTCACGCCATGAATATAATCGAATACACTCGAATACAACAACTGATTAGCTAGACTTCCCTGATTCACGCCTATTTTTGCTACTGTATTCATGAATACAGTAGCTTAAATACATCTAATACATCTTATAACAAGAGAAAACATATCTACAATCCGTAATATAGCAAATGGTATCTATAGATAGCTAAGTACCAGTAAATGATAGTGCTTTATGAAAATTTCTCTTTTTCATTTTGGCACTCTATCTCAACCTTGTTCCATTTTTGCCCTTCAACTCTATTTCTTATGTTTCATTTTAACACAAAAACTTTTATCCGTCGTAAAAATACAGCGCGTATACATACTTCCTTCTAATGTGTAACAACCATCCAATTAGATTTGGACACCTGTTTTTTTATCCTTGTCAGCTGGGTTTAATCCCTAAACCCCCCCCCCCCCCCCACAAAAAAAAAAGAATTATTTTTTACTTTTTTTTTTGTAATTTCAAATTTTTCTGCACCCCTTCCCGTCCCTGGCCCCTTCCCCCCTCCCCCGGGAAAAAACATATTTTTTTTTATATATTTTCAGTTTTTGTTTTTTCATCTTTCGGTTTACAGGTTCGAAATTTTACAAGTTCCAAGGTTATGAGTTCAGAGCTTTATGTGTTTGGAAGTTTACGGGTTCGAAAGTTCGCGGTTTCGAAAGTCTAGCGGTTCGAAAATTTATAAATTTTGTGGGTATTTCAGGATATGCATGCACACACGTTTCACAAAATATAAAATTATTTCAAAATATTTTATTTTTTAATTTTTTTTACGAAACCGACCAACTTCGGTCGATTTTTTTGGCGCAAAAATACAGGAAACTTTTATAGCGTCCCACAAAATTTATTTTTTAAGAAACTGACCGAAATCAGTCGGTTTTCATATAAACAGTGAATGGGGAAGGAAATAATGAAGATGAACTATGGGGGAAGGAAGTTGGGGGATTAAAAATGGGGCCAACAGTTATTTTATTACTGTTGGAGAAGGAATTTTGCCAAAAATAATTTGCCTCACGCGCCTACCATGTGAGCCAATTCACACTTTCGTGTTAAAATGAAACATAAAAAATAGAGTTGAGGGCCAAAATGGAACAAGGTTGAGATAGAGTGTCAAACTTGTCTTTTTTCCACATGTCACAATTCATTTACTTTTTAAACTTGTCTTTTTTTCTAATAGCCAAAGATTCAAACAAACAATCCAAAAGTTGATAAGGAAATAGGACTAGTTTGAAAAGTGGCTTCTAGCGATCCTTATAATTTGGGGCGATTAATTTCTTACGTGGAGAAAGACTGTCTCAACCAATTCCAAAAGCTCATACAACAAAATGCAAAGGACTTAAAGCAATACCCTAAAAAACAAACCAACAAACACAAATTACATATGGCAAATTGGGTCTCTCCCTAATTATTGAGATTCAAAAACATGTGATTCCTGCCCTAAGACAGGAGATATGACTATAATATATTATCCACAGTACGATATAGTGTCTTTTATGTCATGTGTGGGTCATATTTTTGCAGATTTGCTTATCAACTTTTTCTTAAAATAAGAGGAGGAAATTATCATAAGAAAAAGTGCCCAAAAGTGATAGGAGGGTCGAAATTATTTTATTTGGGGAGTGTCGGTAGGGGTAGGTGAAAATACAAGGCCCTAGGGATATTCTCGGTTTGAAGCGGTATTATCACTTTTTGCATGCATCAGAATCTATTTATTTGTGGTAGTCAAAAAAGTATATAATATTTGTATATAACATATAATATATATATATATATATATATATATATAAAATATATATATATAAAAGAATATATTTTTTCTGCTATTATTTTGAAAACAGCCGTACGGTGTCATTTTCCTATCATCCTGCAGGTGCTACAACAGAGCATTGTAATCGTGCATTTATCTTGAGAATACAAGCAGATATATTACACGTGCAGAAGAATAAATTGACAACCATTTTAGGAACATCTAACAGAAAATATGGAGGTCGAAGTAACATGGCTGAGCTAATTAAATATAGATAATTTTTTGAATTGAAAACGTGATGTATTTAGATTTTAAATAGATGGCAGTATGGCACTGGCACATAGTGTTAATTGAATTTCGTCATTGGGATCTTGAATTAATTAGGATCGGCGGGCGTGTTGGATCCAGATCCATTATTGTTTGCACTTGGCCTAAACCTCCAATCGAATATAACGGAGCGGTTCGAACCCGAACCCTGGTCCGAGCCCGAACTAATCCTATCACCACTATCATAAGTCCATAATACTCGGAGCTCCTGCCATCCCTTGATGAAGATCCAACCCACCCAAACTCAAACCTAAACCAAAAACCACCACTTAGATCATCATTGTTTGAATTTGGGCCGAATCCATAAATGGAGCAACTGGGACCAAAGCCCGTGACCCAAGGATAAGTCCAACTTCCGCTCGGGTCCAACCCGCATCCATATTTAAGGCTCCAAACTGCATTTGGACTTGAACTATCTCCTAAATTACTTGATATTTCTCTTCTAGGAATAGTCTCAAAACAATGAATGAGAGATATGAGAAGAAAGAGTTCACTAAGAGTTAACAAGCCAACTACATTAATTTTTTGCCATTTTCTCTTTTGTCCTTAGGCCAGTGAGATGGTAATCACTTATTAGTTGTGAGAATAAAAGTGTGGAAAGTACTCTTAAATCACCTCAAAACCAGGGGCGAATCCAGAATTTAAACTTTATGAGTTCAACTTTTAAAATTTTTAACATTGAATCCATTATATTCTTAAAATTATGGGTTCAAATCTATTATTTTTGCAATTTTAATGAATTTTTACACATAAATTTCTACTCCGTGTCGAAAGTTATGGGTTCAATTGAACCCGTAGCTACCACATTGTATCCTCCTCTGCTCAAAACATTATTCATTTCCTTGGTATGGCCTACATATTTGAATCATGAAAAACTTATTGAGCATTCTCTAGCAAAAAGGTAGCTTTGATTATTATACTGACAACTAGTTAATTAGTATAATATGGAGTCGAGAAACTTTCTCCATCCGTGAAATAAGGCAGAAATTTCAAGTAGAAGAAATTTAATAGTACTAATAAGTTCCACGTGTAAAAGTTTAAGATAAACTGCGAGTTTCTTTGTTTACGTACAATATATATTTTCTTAACAGAAGTAAATCCAGGTGTAACCAACCAAGAGAAGCAA